AATAATAGGACATAAGTAAGAGGCAGGCTGGTGCAACTTTCATAGTAAAAATTATATGTACTATAGGGGTCAAATTTTAATGACGGTTACTCTTCTTTATGCTTTTCGTGATATGTCTATTAACGACATTGACAAATGAAATAGGTTCAAATGTCAAATCAAACAATTATATTTGTATATATTTTATTAATTAAGATTGCTTTTAATTTTGCTATAAGAGCCGTTGTTCATTTACAGAATTGTTAAGAAATTAAATATGCATTATAAAACTTTCCAATTAAATGGCGCAAGAAGCGGAAAAAATGATAACAAGAAAAGGCTATTCGTAACAATATTTCCCTTAGATGATGAAAGGTATGTGGTGATTTCAACTTTAATAGTAATATGATATTCAACGCGAGTATATTTTTGAACTAGCCATCTATGTAGGACATGTTTTTTATAGTGTACGATTGTGTGCACAAATACAAGCACACTATTTCCTAAATCTGATAGTTCGATGGTTTGGCAATCCGAAACGAACTATACTTAGAAACTACAAGTCAATTTTGACTGCTAACATTCTATTTGTTCAATAATAATGTGATTTTATTTATATTATTTTTTCAGATGCAAGCAATGGGTGAAATACCTGGCACATGCACCAATTGAAAAGATTCACATGTTAAGACATATTTATGACAAACATTGCATATGAACGCAACTAAAACGAACTGTTATTTCTTTAGTGGACTTACTTTAAACTTCCACAATTTATGTGTATGTTAATTAGATTTCATTTACATGTAGCAAAAGATAATATCCCTCTAAAGTCACATTTTGGCAAGAATTAGATTATATAACTAAATCATTATTTTATTCATCAATAAACATTAGCTATAATGAGCACTTATTTTGAAAGCGACAATTAGTAAACGATATCTGCGAATAGTATGTACATAGGTGCCTCTGTGAAGAAGCCTAGCGATTTGTATATAGTATTTGTTACACATAATAGCAATTTAATCCAATCAGTATTAAAAACCCAATATTTTTACCCTTAAAAAAAACTAACGTTGAAAACAAGCATCCAGACGCAGACTATTTATTTTACAGCATAGCAACAATTGTTCAGTGCGGGAAGAAAGCCTCGGTCCTGCAATGCCGCAGCCAAACGCTTAGCCACTGCGCTACGGAGTCGTCATTTATTTTTTACTTAATTAATTACTAGTATAAAAGTGCGTTTTTTATTTTATATTTTCTTTATACATACTTTTGTACCTAATTGTAGAGATATAAATACAAATTGCTGTGTGTAAAATACATTGATTTCTTATCCTCATCGGCATTTTTACTCAATCCACACGTTAAAAATTTTATTTCTCATAAATAATTCAGTATAGAGATCTAACTTTTCTTACGTAAAAATATCGATAAAGGTTATATCGATAAAATTATTCGAGGGTAGACATTTACAGCACTATTGTAATTCGTCAATGTTGTCAGCACTGTTTCTCAAAACTAAATGTCATATCTTGATGTTGGTAGAGTAATTTGGCGTAATTTCATGCAATTATTTTTACTATGGAAGTCCCGCCTCTTAAACGTAGTGATTATATTCTCTTTGGTAAGAGGTAACAATTTTGTTGCTGAACTCCGGTCTATTACTAGTACTTAAATGTCTTTGCCATAGATAAATAAATGCAATTGACATCGATTCACTCGTTTTTGTTTATTTATTTATTTTTTATTAAGTACCTACTTTATTATAAGTCTGAATATATAAAGAAATATAGGTCTGTATATATAAAGAACTTAGTATTATTCGAGCGATGAAGTGGATTGTTTTTTATTTACTAATTACTCTAAGACAAACATCATCGAAAAAAATTCCTTTGTTTCATTCATTCATTATTAGGTACCTACTTTATTATAAGTCTAAAAATATAAAGAAAATAGGACTAGACTTTTTACCAATCGAGCGATGAAGTGTATTGTTTTTATTTGTTATTACTCTAAGACAAACATCATCGAAAATAAATCCTTTGTTTGATTCAAATTATTATTAAGAAAAAAAAATAAAGTAACATACTATATCATCATTATCATTACACCCCTATAAAAGTCCGCTGGTGAATATAGGCCTCTCCAAGTAATTCCACTAAAGCCGTCCTCTGCAACTCTGCATTCATACAGCACAAATCTTTCGGCTCAACTAAACGAGGACCACATTCTCACATAATACCACCGTAAAATAACAGCATAATGCTGCTTTGTTTCGTATGGTGAGTATAGAGTAATGGAGAACATTTTCATTCTTAACGAGGCATTCCATTTAAGTCCTCAGGAGTGACAACGTCTTTACATTTTAATGCTTAATTGATGCTAGATGTAGGTGTCTTTTGTCCATAACATCAACATATTATAGTCTTTTCGCTAGGATACTGACACCGTTGTGTCTCGCCGCCTTGGCGCGTGCCGCATCTTGTCAACGGCGCCGCCATGACGTCAAAAATCGCCGGGTGCGGCGCACACCCGCAGGAAAATTTGGCACCATAGATTACTGTATATATATTTGGCACTTTAAAACGAAGCGCCGAACTGAACATAACTTGTGTTTATTATTTATATTCGTATTTTATTACAATAACCATTTATTTAACAATCAGCAAAAAATAATAAAATAAAAGCAAAATATTAAGTATGCCTCCGGGTGTACCGTCACTATCATAGCGAACAGAATATACCATCAGGTGAATGCTCGTCTTTACTTCTAGAAAAAAAAAATATCAGGTACTCTGGTTATGCTGTGGGTAACATCGTTACGGATTCTATCGCGTAGAGCAAATCTGAGCAAGGCCCTGTTCACAGCTACGTTAGTACTATTATTTATTATGTGCCACAGATAGGTGAGCGATCAGTGCAGTTTTAAATAAGACTATTTGTCTCTATCTACATCTAGACTTTTAATAAAAAGTAAAAGCCCAGTTCAAAACACTAAAAATAATACATTAAAGTAGTTAATATTTTAAAAGTACGCAGTAATTTAAAAGGCAATGAAAGAAGAAGAATTTATAGAAGTATTAAAGCACCCACTTCCGAAGCCACTATGCGGATATTTGTTTATGTATATTCTAAGGCGGAAATCGTTTTATTTTCAGTCTTTTGAAATTGGCATTTTACTTTTTATTAGAAGTATAATTTTTGACCCTTTTGCGTAGAATAAGGAATATCAAAAGCTCGAATTTCCTCTAACCGGAACGCTCCCAAACAATATCCTAAATTTTATTACGTCATTATTGTTTTTTGGTACAATTAGTACCTTAAGAAAAAAACTTTAGAAGATATAGGCCATATTTTGGGAGGATTCTAGCCTGGATTCAAAAATTCTATGATATAAAATCTTCAAGCCAGAATCCTCCCTAAGGCTTATGAATAAGTCCGGTTCCGTTAGAGCAATACGTTTCAATCTCGTAATATGGAAGTCACCAATTAGTCACTAAATCTTAGAATAGGAATCACATCAGACACAGACAATAATAGTGTTTTCGAGGGAGGGGGGGGGGGGGGGAATGTTAGCTTGAATCCAGGCTAGAATCCTCTCAAAAAGGGCTACCTATATCTCCAAAGTATTAAGTAACTATTTTTTTATGTGTAACATGTTTCCTCTCAATTTCTCGCAATCTGTGGGAGTGATTTCGTGAAAAGGGACGGAAGTGAGTAACGGGAAGCCGGGGAGGCGCGCGCTATTTGATTTAACCAATGAGCGCGCTTCGTAATAGAAAAGTGTGCTGATATATAAACTCATTTATGTGTAAACTATATTAATAAATATATTTACGGTTTATAACAAGGAGGTATCTGAAAAAAGTGCAGATGATTGATAAAAAATGCAAGTGAGTAATAATGACTAATTATTCGAATAAATATTTCAGTATTAAGCTTTTCTTAAATTTTGAGGTTAATTTCTGTCGATGCTTAATTCATATTTTTAATTTTGATTAAAAAAGAAATATCTTTTTCATGATATTATGTTAATGCTGCTTATTGCCAAGGTGAGATGTTAGATGTTACAAATCATATGCAACAACTGTAAGGCTCGCTCGTTTTTTTCTTAAGTCACTAATTCTGACCAATTTCGGATATCATTGGGGAGGATCCCAGCTTGGAAGAAAGCCTAAATTGTTAGTTTAAAAACTACATCCCCTATTTTTCCATCCTTAGTGGTGGAATTATTTTAAATTTATGAGGGACCACTCCTGAAGTATAAATGATTTAATAAAAAACAGCAATCATAAAAACGGTCAACAACGGACCAAGATATCGAGTAATTCCCTACATAATTAAAAATTAAAAATTTTGTACAGCCGACTTCAATATAAATTATTAAGAATAACTCAAAAACTATTGGTCTGACTTTGATCAAATTGAAGTACCAGCTTTCAAATAAAAAAAGAATCATCGAAATCGGTTTACCCAGTAAAAAGTTATGAGGTAACACACATAAAAAAAACATACAGTCGAATTGAGTACCGACTCCTTTTTGAAGTCGGCAGAAAAAAGAGCATTACACTCGAATTGAGATTCTCCTTCTTTATTCAAAGCATCAAAAGACATTATGTATTTTAATAATTATTTCTATTTTTACTGTCTTTGTTTCAGTCTTGTTGTCTTTACATGGATTATTTTATTTCTGTAGTTTAAAAAAACTAAAGAAATTGTTGTGATTTAAAGATATGCAACAAAATTTTTTATATCGACAACATCTTCATTAGTCTCATCTCTTTAACTGCGCTAGCACTTCTTATTCGTTTGTGCTCTTTAACTTGGCTAATGCTCATACAGTGCAGTGCTGGAGTTATCCTCTACCATTTTGAAAAGATTTGCAAGTGTAGACTGCAAAAGCTTTTACAGTCAAAATAAACAAAACTTTATCATTTATTTTTTATTAAGTAACAAAATTTTGTATTATAATTTTTTTTTTTCAAAAAATCTACAAATAAATATGGTAAAGAACCCATTTAAATTTCAGGCAGCACCTTGTAGGGGTTGAGAATTCCATTTGGGTCCATAAGTTGTTTCAACTGTTGCATCAATTGAAGTGCATTTGCATCTTTGCTGTAGTGAATAAATTGCGGCTTCCGGAAACCAACGCCATGTTCTGCGCTTATAGAGCCTTTTAACTTTGCGACTTCTTCGAAAATGTAAGGCTCCAGCATGGAAGACGCTTCCGGACTATACTTGGGTACAATGACATTGATATGAATGTTACCATCACCTGTAAGTTAATGATTATATATGTAAATAATGCAATATTATTTACATACATTTTATAAAATAAAAAAAACTGAGAGGGCATTCCGGGTCCGCGGGCTCGAATCCCACATGTTTCTGGTTTTGTGCGCGTGCAATTTGTTTGTAAAACGCTTCCACGATACAATAGAAATATGTAGCTTGGATGAAACGATTTAAAAAGTAACAAATACATATGATTGAAGTACTTAATTTGAAATTACTCATTTTCAAAGCGACCTTTCAAATTAATCTAAGCTCCAAAAATGTTAAATGTTTATGAATCTACTAGAACTTACCGACATGTCCATATCCATAAACTCTTGATGCCTTCGCGCCCAATCTTTGCCTCAATAACGGCACGAGACTGTAATAGTTCCTGAGGGGTAGTGACACGTCGTATTTAAACATATAGCCCTCTACAAGCCCTGCAGCCGCTATGTTCTCCCTCAGGTTCCAAATCGTCTAATGAAATAGTAATAAAAACAAATGAATATGTAATAAATATAATGCAAAGCTGTGGTAGGTCAGGATCTGCCAAAGAGAGCCTGCTGACCTGCTTTAGCTTGCTCGGGGTAAATTACATCGTACGCGAGCAGCTTGGGGTTCGAATCCCGCGGGCACTAATGTAAATGTTAATTGGAATTTTAAGTGTTGATTTACCACGTGCTCGGCGATGAAAATAAATATCATGACCAACAAAACCTACCGATACACACGCACACTCTAGAAACGAAATGAGATGAAGTACCCACAATCGTGTTTAGTAACTGGTATATTCTGTGGTATGTAGCGCCACATCGGGCTATTATTAGTTATTGGATTTTTCTATCAAAGTATTCTCAGTAGCAGGCCAGAGTCACAAAGCTAACAGTATTTCACCGCCATGCTCCGGCAAGTACGTAAAGCCGTTGGCCCCGCGTCTAATCACTCTCGGTAGTGTTGGATTGTCCATCGGACTGTGAGGGAATGAAGTATGATGTGCTTGCGCACACTCTGGTGCACTGGCAAATTATACCAAATAAAATGGAATAGATCAGTACTGCAGCTATAATGCAATCATAGTGAGACACTACCATGTAAAGAAACTTACTTCAGTCACCATGCGCTCTACTTTGTTTTTATCTAAGTGATTATAATCACTCACACCTGCATTTTAGCTGGGTCCGAAGTGACAGTTCCGTCTAAGATCAAACCGCTCTCCATTTCTTTTTCAAGGAATCGAGTGAGTTTCTCGGAGTCATGTGCTTCGTCACTGCCATGCGTCTCCAAGAGCACGTAGAATGGGTAATCGGATATCGGGTTTCTGAAATATATTTTTTTATTGTTTCTTTACTTTAGTAAGAAAAATTAAGACAATTAATAAACTTAAAATAAATTCATACGATGCTCTAAGTCTAAATCTCCCAATAAAAAAGACTATTTAAAATAACCTCGGATAAAGATTTTAACTAATATTTTAGTTAAATACAGTACAAAAACTACAAAATTACCAAATATTAATATTTGTTATTGTTTTTGAACTTTTTATTAATGCATAAGTAGTGAAACAGTAAAATAATTAGTCAACTAGGTGCAGGAAGATATTGTTGGTTTTTGTTATTTTTAATAAACATTTGCTTATACCATAACAAATAATATTTATTTAAATTCCAAAAAAAAAACTATAACCTTTTCGAGATCAACGGGACCAGCGGGATTCAGTGGGGTCCTGCAGTTCGGTCGGTCAGTTTGAAAACAGTGCTCGATTACAATCGCTACTTACGAGTTACGACAACTGAATTCTTTGTGAGTCGAATCGAGAGTTGCATAAAATCTCTATACAGAGTTATTTTGCAATAACCGACCAAATTTGCAGAGAATAATCAAAATAAGTAATATAGGCAAATGGCGAAGAAAAATCTTTTGACGTGGTAGAGCCATGCTACAGCTATATCTATTACTGGTATAGTTGTAGCAAGAATGGGTCGGCTCAACCGGGGAAGGAGCACACTATCACAGAATACCAGCGTAAAATTGCAGCTTAACGCTGCTGTGTTTCGTATGGTGAGTGTAGTAAACCGGAGACCATTTTTACTGGAAACGAGGCATTCCATCTTAGTTCTCAGGGATGACAATGCATCTGTATTTTGATTCGTTATCGATGATAGATGTAGATGTCTATGGGCCACAGCAACCACTTACCATCAGGTGGACTGTGTGTTCCTTTGTCACCCTTATACTATAAAAAAATAATTCAATAAAAAATTTCAAACATTCTGTCCTTTTTATCTTTTAAATTCAAAATGCGTGGTAACTGGTAATGCATTATTTTAACTGATTGTACTGCGCGCGCACACATTCGAAAGGGTCGATGCCCATAAATAACATTAAATTTAGGATGATTTGAAATAAAAATAGAAGCCTTATTTACTCGTATTTTCAAAAACTGAAATATTTAACGGTATATCATTATTTACTTTGAACAAAAGCTTAAAATTTGGCTACTCTTTGAAATATAACCCTGTATAAAAAAAAATCAATTGCTGTACGTTAGTCTCGGTAAAACTCAAAAACGGCTCGACCGATTTAGATAAAAAAAAATGTGGGTGTTTGAATGGGTCCCTAGATGGTTTAAATTCTGAGTTACGTTTATTTAAAAGAGAAACATAATTTGCACATTTTTTTATCTATTTTTATATAATTTGTGTGAGTTCGCATAACGGCAAAAATGTTATTGTATCGGATTTAGCCATATTTTACTTAATTTAACCCAATTTTCTCTAAATTTTACACTGTTTCTTGCGGAAAAAAAATTACGTAATATCGTGCGATTGCGTGTGATTCGGCTATTATATATTCGACTTCCGGTAATTAATGGACCTTAGGAGTTCAAAGGCAGCACGTTTGCCTTAAATTTCATATTAGTAGGAATCACATACTAGGATCATCATGAGAAAATATAATAATGGTAACACAGTCGATCTACATTATATTGCAATAAATATGAAATCCATGCTGTCGACTCTTAAAGCCGATTCTTCACTGTTAAATATAATCTTGAGAATTCGAAGCCAGCAACCATCTCGAACAAGTGGCAACATACGAGGGTGGATTGAAAAGTACTCGGCCTAACCAAGAAAATAAACAAATACTAAATCAGTTATATTTTTATTTTTCTACATAATCACCATCAAGTTCAATACACTTTTGCCACCTCCCCTTCCAAGCATTTAGACCGTTGAAAAAAAATGATTCTTCCTTAGAGTCAAAATATGCGTCTACAGCTGCTTTGACCTCGTCGTTTGTCGAAAATCTTTGACCTCCCAAGTGCTTTTTTAGGTTAGGGAACAGAAAAAAGTCTGATGGTGCCAGATCAGGTGAATACGGCGGATGCGGTAACAGTTCAAAGCCACTTTTGTGAATTTCAGCCATTGACTGTACTGACGTGTGAACACGGGCGTTATCTTGATGAAACAGGACTTTTCTTCTGAGCATTCCTCGACGTTTTTCTTTTATTTCCTCTCGTAAACGACGTAGTAAGGTGCAGTAGTAATCAGAGTTTATATTCTGACCCCTTTCAAGATAATCAATCATAATCACACCTTTCGAGTCCCAGAATACTGAAGCCATCACCTTATTTGCCGACAAAATCGACTTAGCCTTTTTAGGGGGTGGTGAACCAGGTCTTCTCCACTGTTTTGATTGTTGTTTTGTTTCCGGTGTACAGTAATGAACCCATGTTTCGTCCATAGTAACAAAACGATTCAAAAAATCATCTGCATCGGCTTCAAATAACTCCAAACAGTCGCGTGAAATAGTCAATCGCGTCCTTTTTTGTTCAACTGAAAGCAGTCGCGGAACCCACCTCGCAGACACCTTGTGGAAACCCAACTCGTTGACAATGATGTTTTGAGTTCGTTCATAAGAGATGCCTATAATCTCGGCTATCTCTCTAATTTTTAATCTGCGGTCTCCCATTATTAAATCAAGTACTTTTTTAATATTTTCGTCAGTAGTTGACGTCGAAGGCCTTTCAGAGCGGGGTTCATCTTTCACACTCTCTCTACCACGCTTAAATTCTGCTATCCCTTTTTTGAAGGATGAATATGACAGAGCACAATCGCCTAATGTACTGACCATGTCATCATGGATGGCTTTTGATGATAGCCCCTTCTTATGGAGGTACTTAATGACGGCACGCTGCTCGATTTGCTCCATTCGCGGAAATTATGTCCGATTACTTTGTTAATAAATTTATAAAATCACAACTAATTATCGCACACGTTTCGAACTTCACACAATGAACTAGTCTGAACTGAACTAAATAATGTGGGTAGATTTGATTTTTAGAATTGAATGGATCTGTGTTAGGCCGAGTACTTTTCAATCCTTGAATCCTGCCCTAGAGACAGAGTTTACCAATATGACGCTTTTAAAACGTAATTATAGCTTTCTAGCTTACATGAAGCTTGAAGCACATTTTGAAGAACTTTTGTTAGATAATAGTATATTTCTTAGACATGCATTCTTTTAGACAAAAATACGTGTTGTACCCATTTACTAAATGTATTGGCGTTCACTTACGGAAGTTTGAGGTTCTTCGCTGTCGAACTTATAGAGTCGTTGTCGGCCATTTCGAATGCTGATAAAATTTCTCCAAGTGATGATTTGGCGTTTGCATATAAACGAAGAATATCCTCGAATTTCTCGACACCTAAAATATATTTTAATCACCATCTCAACATAGATGTCTAATTTTTGCATTCTTTCCCTGTTTCTGTCGCTCAAATAACTGATAATTCAATTCCCTAGTTTCATAAGTAATGCGAAATTCGAATAAAGAAAAATTGCCATATAAATGTCATCACCAGATTCATAGGTGTTGAAGTCCAGGGTAAAAGAAGGAATAAGGCCTTGTTTTATGTGTTTTATTTAATTTTGGTACAATGTAATCGAAAATATTCGCAAAAACTTGAAAACAACTGTACAATGGTAAATAATTATTACCTTTTATTTCAAAATTGTAATTTAGATATATTTTGTAAAAAGATAGCTACTTTTAAAAAATAGATTTTGATTGTTGCAAGAGTCATTTTAGTTTCAAATTCTTTTTTTTTCTCTGTACTAATTTAAAATTTTTAATATGTATTCTGTAAAACAACGTCTTTTATCGTATAACAATGTTTGTCATACCTTTCATTTCAATGCATGTAATTAGATGTAATGTATGTAGCGCGTAAACTTTATTTAAAAAAAAACCTTTAGCCAAAAAAAATACATCAAACGCTGAAAAATCTCACGCTTTTATGTAAGTTCCATCCAAACCTTCCTATGCCTAGCAGTAGACTTAAATGGTGTTCTATCTCAAACCTATAAATGATAAAAAATAAACAAAGGTAATTAAAATATTTTACCAAAAAATCCCACTGAAACAGCTTTTGGTAGCGCAGGACAATGAATAGCTACTTTTGTTACAAGTCCCAACGTGCCTTCAGATCCAATAAATAAGTGTTTTAGGTGATATCCAGTGTTATCCTTCTTTAAAGATTTGAGGCAATCAATGACAGTCCCATCAGCTTTTACCTTAAAGCAGGAGAATACATGATAGGAATCAATATTTCACTGCGATCTTTTTAAAAAACTACGCCCGATATTCTGCTGTACCGTATAGGTTAATGCTGTTGTGTTTCGTATGGTGAGAATAGAGAACAGGAAACCCTTTTTACTGGAAACGAGTCAATTAATCTTAGTCCTCAGGGGTGACAAACGCTTTTAGTCTTTGTAGTACTTACACCTTGTAGTACTACATCCATTTTCTGAATTCTCGAGAGAAAGTCGGCACAGTCAAAGTCTAAGGAGGCATGTCGGATTTTAACGTAGTTTTACATAAGTGGCGATTGCAGAAGTAATGCAAAAATTTAATTTACTTACAGCTTCAACTCCTAGCACGGAACCGTGCAGATTTCCATATCGAAGCAATCGGAGCCCCCCTGCGTTCGTGCTAATGTTTCCGCCAATATGACATGAGCCTTTTGCGCCAAGGTCTAGAGGCATAATGAGATTACGTTCTCTCACATAATTGTCCAAATTCTCTAAAATGCATCCTGCTTCACATATCAGTGCTCCTAAATAAATTTATACAATACGTTATCAATATGTTTTCGGAAATAATTAAATACATGCCTACTAAAGTTACGAAATCGTGAAGTTAAGTTTATACATTTACTGAAGAAACCTATCCATTGGTCTAATTACGCTAAGTTAACGTTAAAATAGTTTGGAAAACCCAAAAGTGCACGCCTCATGAGCGTTTCATTTAATTTTGATGAAAAAAATAATTTAGTTTATACTTAAGAGAAATAAAAAACAGAGAACAGAGTGCAATAACAAAAACCCATATGGATCGGATAGAATATACGGAATCTTATTTAATACTATATAGTATGTTAGTATGTATATCAATGTATTGCTTACCTACCCATTACCTACATTTCTATTAGGCGAGAAGACTCACCGACGCACAGACCAACGAGCGGTAGTCCATATATTTTTTCAATTACATTTTTTATTATGTAATCTAAGGTGAATCAATTAGAAAATAAACTAATCTTATAATTCGTAATATAATTTGTAACGTATTAATAATATGGATTTGATGTCTAGTTAAATGTAGCGAAATTGAGGTATGGCCACATATTGAGAGTAGAGCACTGGCTCACGTTGTGAGGCGTGCAATATTACATTATTTTTTCATTATAGATGAAGGCTTTGTTTAAAAAAAACATTTTGACATTCATACGCAACGAGTTTGATTGTTTTGAATTTTCATTAGTTATAGATAAAGTTGTTAAATGATGTGTACTACAAACCCGATATTTCGTCAAAGCTGATTATTTTATTCATGAGCATAAAGCTAAGTACAATTTCGTCAAACACCGGGACAGATCCTCCAACAAGGCCTGTGTTCCCGCCTTGCGGACATACTGCTAAACGCTTCTGATTACAATATTTCAGAATTGTTGAGACCTCCTGTGTGGTCTTAGGTTTTAACACTAGTTTTGATTGCCCTGAAAAGATTAAAAACATAATGACTCTTCATAACACGACATTATTACTCTTCATTGAATTAATTTTCCATGTTCACATCAGTATTTTGTGCCGAGTTTAAGTAATATTTTAGTATAATAATATTGACCTAAAACTACAATAAAACTGCAGTTGACAACCCGCTTCTAGGCGTGGCAAATATGGCAAAAAGCAGCCCTCATGAGCACTGACATAAAGTAGCAGTCTTCGGTGGTCCTATTCCTGGCTACATTGGCGAACATGGTAACGGCAGTGCAGGCGGTGCTAAAAATCTCCTATGGAGGTTCGGTTGCCACCTAAAACGACTCGACCTGACAACATTCAACGCATGCACCCTGTAGAGTATTAGCAAGGAGATCCTGGAACTGGAAGAAGAGAAAGACAAGTTGCGCTAGGATGTATAAAGAATATCGCTTGACAAATCTGAATTTTAGGACAATACCTGCCCTTTATGATGTAGGTATCCACTAAAAATGAATTTTTGAAAAATCAACCCTCTAAGAGAGTGAAAAAGAAATTGGAGTACATTCATCTTCTTTAAGTGTCCTCGTTGAGTAGTTTTCACTAATGAACAGCCTTAGTCTAACTTAAAATCTACGATCGTCATAATTTCGAAATATGATGAGTTTCCATGTCATACATAAAAAAGAACGTTCGCGACGATAGACGTTGTGCCCACTTTTCCGGTTTTTAATTCGCGCACTCAATTTTTTTACAGTGTATAATATTCTATTCGCTAAGATGAGGTCGACTTTGTGTCGCGCCGCGACTCCTTGGCACGTGCCGCATTTACTTAAATGCGGCGTGCAAGAAAATGTGGCACTTTACAACGAAGCGCCGTAGTGAAAGGTTCTTTGCTACCTAACTTGTGTTTATTATTTATATTCGTATTTTATTACAATAAAATACGAATATAAATGTAATGTTAATCCCAATTTCATTGCATTCTTATATGGGGCAAAATTATGTGCCTTCAAAGAAAAGGATAACGGTATCCGTCCTATTGCCGTTGGTTCCACATTTCGACGCTTAACTTCAAAATTAGCTTGCAGGCACATAATCTCTAACCTTAAAACAAATATCCAGCCTACTCAACTAGACTTTGGTACTAAAGGTGGCTGTGAGGCGGCGGTACATTCAGTGCGTACATTTTTAACAAACTCCGATGCAGATGTTCTTGCGAAGGTTGACCTAAGGAATGTTTTTAACTTTGTTGATAGGAAATATTCCTGCTGAAAGAAGTGGCTAACAATACCTCCGCAATTTATCATTACGTTTGGCAATGTTACAGTGAAAATACTAACTTGTTTTACGAAAACTATGTTATCGATCCTGCTATCGGTGTTGAAACAGGCTACTAGGCCCAACACTTTTTTGTTTGGGAATTCAACCCATTATTTCAAATTTGAAATCCAAGCTCAATGTCTGATATCTGGACGACGGTACACTGGGAGGTAGAGTAGATGACGTCCTCAGTGATCTTACTCATATTTTTCGAAATTTTAAAATTATTGTCGTCCGCCTTTGTTGTATATGTCGTATCTCCTCAGTTTCAAGGCACTCCCCTTGTTGCCTCAGCCAGTATCGGAATTCTCGGCGTCGACATATCGAGTGACGTGCAGTTTCGTGGTCACTTGGAAGAGAAGGCCGAATTGGCCTCCAAAAAGCTTGGCGTGCTCAGCAGAGCGGGACAGTATTTCATGGCGGCACAACGCCTGCAACTTTACAAGGCGCAGGTTCGGCCTCACATGGAATACTGTTCCCATCTTTGAGCTGGGGCTCGCCAGTGCCAACTCCTTCCACTTGACGACCGAGTCCTTTCCGATCGGCTCGATTCATTGGCGCTGCGAAGAGATGTTGCACCCCTTTGCATTTTCTTTCGCATTTACACTTACCACGGGGAGTGCTCAGAGAAATTGTTCGGATTAATCCCAGCCGCTAAATTTCACGAATGCACATCGCGGCAGAACTCCCGATACCATTCACACCATCTGGATGATTGTCTGGATGGTGGCCCACCACTGTGCGATTTAGAAAATGTTTTCTTCCTTGCACAACTTCCTTGTGGAATCGATTACTACCGGCGATCATATTTCTCTAGAAATAAAAACTGTCAGTACGGATTCACTATACCTGCTAAGTGCCCCGTTGTTTTTCGATAGTATTAAACCTGTTTTAAAAACAAAATTTTATCAGTATTTAAAGAACGTTGATAAATTGTATAAATTAAACCCCCACATTGCTCTTACTATTGTAAAATGTTGTCTCCTTGTACCTAGATAGTATGTAATATAGTATGTAAATACTTAGTCCAATCGAGTCCAGTCTGGAAATGTTCGGATATTTTAAAAGATATTGATAATAATCTTAAAATAGCTATAGAAAAAATTCTAAATTTAACTTTAAATACAACAGCCTGGACTCAAGCTACTTTACCTATAAAATTTGGTGGTATTGGCGTGAGAAATCTTTCTAGCGTTGCATTACCAGCTTTCCTTGCTTCCGTGTACAGTGTTAGTGATTTATGTAACATAATTTTAAATAATAAAGTAGAGCTGTGCTTTGCTACTGAGGCAGGGCAGACATGGCAAACCCTCTGTCCGCCGAAAATCTTCCACTGGAAGTTAACCAACAAAAACAGTGGGACATTCCGTTGGTACAGAACGTGCAGAAAAATTCGTTTCATAATTTCCATAGTGACCAAGATAAGGCACACTTTCTAGCTGTTTGGACTAAGGAATCTAGTCACTGGTTACACGCTTTACCATCGAGTAATCTCCGCACATTACTTGATGGGAAAAGCTTGCGCATCGTCGTAGGAATCCGACTAAGGGCGGCGATTTGTCAACCTCATCAGTGCCCCTGTGGTAGCAGCGTCAACAAGTTTGGGCTCCACGTACGTTCATGTAAGAAAAGTGTTGGTAGGTTTTGACGGCACGGTACTTTGAACGATGTCATCCGAAGGGCTCTTCTCTCTATAAATGTTCCCTCGGTTTTAGAGCCTTGTGGAATATTTAGAGACGATGGCAGGAGACCCGACGGTATGACATTGGCCCCTTGGGAGAGAGGTAAAGCACTAGTGTGAGATGCTACTTGCGTAGACACTTTAGCGGCCTCTCATCTCAGGGGTATCTCGCTTAGAGCCGGGGCGGTATCAGAAGCTGCTGAACTGAGTAAGTGGAGCAAATATGAGTCTCTGAGAGATGACTACATATTTGTGCCATTTGCTGTAGAGACTATCGATCCCTGGGGTCCACATGCGGTGAAGTTCCTAAAGGTACTCCATCCGCGGCTGGTCATTGCTGGTGGTGTTAAGAGGGCTGGTTCTTTTCTCGCTCAAATTACTAATTATAGTTTTTAATATCGTATATAATAAAATATTGTATATTATTACAGTAACCATTTTATTTTATTTTCAGAATAGAAAAATATTTATTTAACAAACACGATAAAAAATAATAAAATAAAATCAAAATAGTAAGTGCGCCTCCGACTATACCGACACTATCTTAGCGAACAGACTATAAATATAAAATTTATTAATAACTCAACAGCAGCGCAATCTATTTTTTTAGCACTAAACCAACGACAACAAACAAATAAGAAATACGTATTAAAAGCAACAATATTTATAAGGCTAGATGGAAAATAATACAGGATGAAATTGACGCTAGACCGCAGTATATTAATAATTATATAGATTCAATTGAAAACAAAAACAATGTCATATAATTATGATCCTACACAGATTTCGACTACCTTTAACAAATATTTTATTTAATTGACAAATAAAGATAATGCAAATATATTACATGAAACTCCTAATGACATTTTAAATAACTCTATTTATTTGACCACCATTTACGAATATTATGTAAGGAAAATAATTTTATCACTGAATAACACAAATTCAGAAGGATACAACTAGGTATATACAAAGATTATCAAGATATGTAATTAACCATTAGGTGCTGTTTTGGCATTTCTGATAAATCAGTCAATGGTCTCTGGAATATTTCCAAACAGATTAAATTCTCATTGATGAAGCCACTATTTAAAAAGGATAAAAAGACACGTAAGTGACGCTGTTTCCTATCTTATCCAAAGTGTATGAGAAGGTTATGTATGAACAACTTACATCGTTTTTTGATAAATATCATATATATCCAGCAAATAAATCCACTACACATGCGGTATATGACTTAGTGAATAAGACCCTTACACAACTAAACAACAAACAATATACGACGGCGCTCTCCTTTGATATGTCAAAAGCATTTGATTTTGTTTCTCATGATCAACTTTTAGCAAAGTTAGAGCACTGCGGCTTTAGAGGCACTGCTTTGAACTGGATAGCAACATACTTGCAAAATAGAATGCAATCAGTCGAAATCGCAAAACTTGACTCTAATCATGTAGTGAAAAACTACAGGTCTGAGTTTAGGGAAAATAAGTTTGGCCTTCCTCAAGGAAGTGTACTGGGACCTCTTCTATTTCTAATTTATATTAATAATCTCCCAAATATGACCAAGCATCAGTGTAGGATACATTCGCTGATGATATATCTGTAATAGTGACAACTGAAAAATGACATTAATGAAATTATAATTCAAATTATTAATTGGCTTAGAAATAAACAAAGTGAATTTAATTAACTTTAGTAATATACGAAATCTGACATTAAATATAAATTATGAAGGACAAATATTTAAAAATACAATAACAACGGAATTCTTGGGTATAGAAATTGATCAAAAATTAGACTGGAAACAACCAGTTAAAAAAGTGTGGAACAAAATCAATCATTTCTCGTTTGCAATTTATAAATTGACAAAAATAGCAGGAAGGAGTACAGCTCTTATTGAGTGCTTTGCTTACGTTGAATCAGTCCTGCAATACGGATTCATCATATGAGATAATAGCATGGACATAAAAAAGGCGTTCAATACAAAAAAAAAAGTGTATTAGAGCAATACTGCACCTGACGAACCCTGTCAGCTTTTGTTTAAATCTTTTAACATTTTGACACTTTCTTATTGTTTATATATATTCGAAGCAGCAATATTAATTTGTAAATCACAATATGAGTTATTTCAAACAAATTAAGCAAACGAAGCACCAGAAATAGGAATAGGTTGGTTTCCGCTATTATTCCCAAGAGTGCGGGATTACATAAAAAATGCTATTGGATGTGTATCGAGATCTACCTCTCATTCAATTTAAAAGAGAATTATACAACTCTCTCAGTGAAAATGCTTTTTACACTGTACATGCATACTTGAACTACCTACGATAGGTAATAGCAACTTGACAAAAAAAAAATATGAATATTTATTGGCTAAGGTACGTGAGGGTAATATTGTCACTTTAAACTTGATCGCCCTATAAAACAAAAATTAGGAGGAGGACAGAGACAAAAACACAAAGTCGTATACTATAACTAATATATTAAGAAAAAAAATAGCAAACAAGCTTTAGCAATAATTAGGAATACTTCGAAAACTTACTTACAACTTCAAAAAAACAACTAACTACACTACAAAATACAAAATCGACTAAAATATTTACTATAATATCAACTATCAAAATGGCGTCGATAAAGCCGCGCCTTTTTGAACCTTTATTATTTGACTTATGAAGAACTATCGTATCACAGCGCCTTCTATGCAAACAAGGCTGTAGTTTTTGAGTTATAAGAAAGTGACCATATTAACCGGATGACCATATTACCCTCACGTCAATGAGTAAAGAAATCGTACTGTACAGAGGCAAAGCTTTATACAACCGCGCTGTGATAGGTACACTACTACAACCTTAGGGCGCGTGTGTGCGTGAGCACTGGCGGGTCATCACGTACAAAGAGAAACTGCTTTACAGCTTAAATCGGCTCGACCAGTGCCCAAACTCAGGGTTGTGTAAAAAATAATAAATGTCAAATTTTCTTTTTTAAAGAATAATTGGTATCAAATTAAATACAAAAAAGTGTAAATATGGTTTAAGTATATTTAAATCCACCGGTTGCCACAAGTGGTACCGCTGATTTTCTAAATAAAATTAATAATTTGTTTGATTTCTTAAACTCAAGTACACTGTGATCTCCTAATAAATATAAAAGAGCTTTTCGTATGCGATAGTAATCAAATTGAGTGTTTAGAAGAAATGCTAACATTTTTCAGAAATTTAAAATCAATAAGAAGTGATAAACGGAAAGACGTTACAAATAGCATGAATTACATTCACGGATTTCAAGTGTCTATAAAATCTTTAATAAAACTTCACGAAGATTTAAAATCAGAAGAAATTAAATTAATTTATATTTACGAGACGTTGATTGATTGAATCAAGATTGTCTCAAAATTTCTTTGGAAAAGTCTGACAGACGGGTGGTAACTGCCAGGAACCAACATGTCGTCTAGTTACTATTGCCTTCAATAAGATGTTTATAACCAATATCTTAGAGAAACCTCGAAATACTAATTGTGAATACGATTTCCATATGTTACTTATGAAACCAGACGATTGACGTATTTTAATACATCATCACCGCAACCTGACAATTTTACTGCCCCTGTTTTAACAGTAGGAACAAATGATTATCGATTTGATTTATCAGAAAAATATGGTTTAGTCTATCTGTGTATATTTGTTCAGAAAATGTTGTGTCTAACCACAAAACTGAGAAAATAAAATTGTACATTAATAGATCTGAAAAACCTATAAATATGGGAAAAGATAATTTTTTCAGCCCTTACAAGGATCTTAATAAAGATAGTGTTCAATCGGGGTTTTTTTTTTTAATAATACTTCTTTAGATTATATTCTCTTTGACTCTACTCCTAAATAATATCCCGATATTTTATAGTTCTAAAGATTTGCATGCTATTAAGAATTGCTGATTAAGCGGATGTTTAATTACTATGACCATCTTCAATGTACCTTAACCAAACACAAATAAAATATTTCATTTCAACTATTCAGAATGAGAACCATTTCCTTCAATAAAGCTATGAACCATCATCTCGACAAAACAAATATAAATACTGTGTGAATATAATTCTATAATATGATACATATGTACACTAATAAAAGTAATAAATATAAATAAAGATTTTACGATTTACGATACAAACCTCGGCAATTTTTAATCCAGTCTATATTGAACGGCAAGACATCGTTATCATCAGTCAAGACTCGATCTTCACTTAAAACTGTCTTGAAGTAATCTACATCCGACGCCTCTATGGTTCCGAATGGCTTTCTTTTCACTTTGTATTTTTCCTATAATAGAATATTTCTTGTTAAGCATGTATCGTCCAAGGGTTTAGGTTTTAACCTTGGCAGTGACAAATGAAAAAAACCTACCTACCTATGTAATAAATAAAAATCACTCAGGCTCAAAGAATGTTAACACACTTATGCTCGGGCCACACTAACGAGAAATGCCGTTAATTATCGCGTTGATGGACGTTGAGTGTAGGTGTGGCCACGACTTAACGCGATAATTTGACAATGGCATTAACAATGCCGTTTGCCGTTTGTACATCAAAGAGATTAACGCACGAAATACCGCGTTAAAGCGGCCACACTAAGTTTGTCTCATTGTGCACGGTGAGCGCAACGGGGTCGCACGTATGACTATGATTGAGTGGAATAACGAAAAAGTTATTACGTTTCTTGAGATTCTGCAAACAGAGCCATGCTTAGGCAATGATAAAATATATTTTATATATTAAAAATGTACACTCATTAAATATAGAGTAGCAGCGTAAACGTCCATCCATCTTGCTTGAAATTAAAGGAACATTAACGCCGTTCAACGGCATTGAAATTAAAATGACGTTGACCGTTCAAGTGTAGCCAATACTATGTCGCGTTAAAATTAAAGCAATAATTGTTGCGTTTATGAGCATTGACGTTTTCCGTTACTTTGGTCCCAGCATTACTGTTTCATGTGTCTTCTGCAAGAACAATAATTAGATAGGTATGTATTTAAGTGTTGATAACATACTTAAGTAATCTCTGTGAATACAGACAATTGCGCCCGTTAAAAATATTACTTTTGTAATTAGAATAAGAGAATAGCTAATGATACGTAGTAGATACTAATATTTATTCTGTTCTAATAATAAAAAGAAAAGAGAGTAGGTAATAAAGATGTTTCCAAGTGCATTCATATTTATACCTAGTCAGGTCATAAATTCTGTCACATGTTTAATATAAAATAATTGAAACAAGTTTATTCATCATTATTCAGTAACCATTTATATACCAAAATGAACTTAACAAAACATAGATTCTTATGACACTAAAGTTTATTCAAAATGACCTCCGTGATTTTGAATACAGGCCTTCAATCTGCGCGGCCAGTCGTCTATCGCAGCACGAACGAGGTCCATGTCAATATTGGCGGCTGCCTTAATCAAGGATGTCTTGAGTGACTCCAAATTGGGATGAGGCTTTGAGCACGCCTTTTCCTCCAAGTGTTGCCATATCTTGTAATCTAACGGATTCAAATCTGGACTGGAGGAGGGCCAGTCTTCGTGCCGGATGAAGTCGATTTCACGCGCCGCCAGCCAGTCTTGTGTGCTCTTCGCTCTATGAGCTGGCGCCGAATCTTGTTGGAATACCCAGTGCCTGTTATTGAACATGGTATGAGAAACAGGTTCCACACGGTTCGTCAGGACTGTATTTTGATACACAACTGCATTCGTTTTTACACCTTTCTCACAAAAATGTACCTCTGTTAAGCCCCAATAAGAAACTCCCAACCATACCATGAGCGAGGATGGAAAATGACCTTGTTGGACACGCGGAATACGGTTGCTCGCTTCTTCACTACTGTGTGCGTATACCTTATCATTTTGTTTGTTGTAGCTCTCTTCTACGGTAAAAATTTTTTCATCCGAAAAAAGAATTTTCCGATATTTTTTTCCCGCGTACCGCTTCAACAAAGCGCGGCATCTCTTCGGTCTCAGGTCCATTAGACGAGCATTCAAACGATGTCCTGTTTTTCTTCGACATGCCCGAAGCCCTAAGTTTTCATTTAACACCATTTTCACCGTGGTTCTGCTTAACACCATCTGAAGGGCCAACAGTTTCTGCTTACGTTTGCGATTTCTTTGAATTCGCGCCTTCACAGCTTTTATCACTGCTGGAGTCCTAACAGACCGAGGGCGACCACTTCTTGACCTGTCATCTACACTAGAGTCTTCATTGTATCGTTTGATGGTACGATAAACGAATCTTTTGGATATATTCAAATTTTTCAGTATGTCAAAAATTTGAATTGGCGCGTAACTGCAACGATGCAACGCAATAACTGCAACACAGTCTTCTTTAAGCGTCCACTCCATATTTAAAAATGAGTAAAATTCTAAAAAGTATACAGTTTTATTTTCATGAACAATTAGAAATTCGAATTCAATAAACTTTTTTGTGGCCAGCATTCTAAAAGAAATTTTTTTACTGTGTGACAATACTTATGACCTGACTAGGTATTAATCTGCCTCCGAGGCATTCATCAAGATTTAAGGGTCTCCCACACACAAACGACTTGCGGTGGCAGCTAACCGCGAGCCGCGGCTCCAGCCGCTGCAACAACATACCACCACGGTCGCAGCGGCGGCCTGAAGCGCCATTCGTTATGGCGTCTGTGCTACGATTGAACGTCAATAAACATGACTAACCGTGACAAAGTCTTATTATATTGAGCAATATTATCATATATTTTGTTTTCAATCTTAATGCTTTTGTAATAACGATGCGAATTATCATAAAGTACTGGATAATTTTGTAGTTTCTATTAAAATCTCTGAATTTAGCACCGCTTTTCACGCGGTACACGCGGCCTGTTGTAAAAATTTGCAATTGACCGCACTGTGGCCATCGAATGACCGCGTACTCGCTAACACACACGCGTTGGCGGAGGGGCGGAGCATGCAGCCGCGGCCAGCCGATCGCAGATTGCAACATGGCCGCACGGGTTTGCAGACTCACTTACATTACAAGCGAATACAACTGGCCGCCACCGCAAGCCGCTTCTGTGTGGGAGACGCTTAATAAACCTGTAGCAAAGGCATTCATTTTAAGAAAAATACTCAGGATTATTTGTTGTTCGTGCGCATAGCATTCAATGAGGTGCAGTGATTGATTAACGTTTTGATACGACTTCACTTAAGTCACAGAATAAATAATAGTACTAAGTACTAGAGTTGAGTTGTTCTACACTAGAATCGCGCGCGACATCAGCGCGAGAAAACACCGCAAAAAAAGAAATAACTCCTCATTCGCAATGGTTTCACATTAAAGTTCGCACATTGGTTCACGTGTTTGAGAGATGGATGTCGAAGTAGCTATCGCTACGTCTCCTGCTATTTGCATTAGCTTATCATACTTATAAATCTTTATGTAATTTAAAAAATCCCCGGTCGAGTCGACCCATTCGTCCTGAAGTCATATTATAGCAGCACCACCAGCTCTACCACGTAAAGACCTAATACAGTATATGCTATGCTCGGTTATCTTTGTGATAAACTTAGAAATTTTTCTTTTAAATTTTTTTGCCCGAGTTGCCTTGGGGTATGGGCTGGACTGAAAACCGGTGCTATCACTGAGTCCGGTCCTTTTCGCAGTTTCATGCTGCAGCACAGGGTTTTTAAGTGTATTTTTTAATTAATAATGTTTGTCAATTATATTTAATTTAGTTTTATTTATCTTTTTGCATATAATTACTTTTTACTTGTTGTGCTGCATGCTTAAACTGGAATAAACGCATTTCTTTCTTCCTTTCTTTCTAAATGAGGATATCCACATTAGAATCAGAGTAACCGACATAGCCCAACGGGTTTGTAAGCTGAAGTGGCAATGGGCTGGCCATATAATTCGAAGAACCGACAACTGATGGGGAAGGAAGCTTCTCGAGAGGCAACCTCGTACGCGAAGTGGAGGGCGGCCCACCACTAGATGGAGTGACTACCTGGTAAGATATGCAGAAAATCTATGTGTAGATGTAGGAGGCTATGGACTGTGCTTTGTGACGTTTCTTGGGAGAGGCCAATGTTCAGCAGTGGACTTATGAAAGGCTGTAATGATGATAATAATTATGAGTAATATTTATGTATCTAAATTAATAGTCGCTTTCGCGGGGGATTCGCCGTCTAAATGGGAGCTAGAGTAATAACATACACATTTAAATAAAACAAGTTTTTACGGATTTTATCGCGTACACTTATTTCATATTCCCGACGTTTCGAGCACTTTACAGCATCCATAGTCACGGGGGGACGTCCCAATTTCATAGTTAACCACGGCTAACTCCAGATAAAAATTATTAATTTTTGTTCCGATCAACGCAGTATACACTTATATCGGGTTTTTCAACAAGAACTTTGTTTTTCAATTGGGGCAACACCAAAAACATGACAGTTTTGACATTTAGTTTTTTGACCTATTCGTAGTAGATGCTTTGGCAATTGCTACAATGAATTCAATTTCGATCGAAAATTGCATTAAAATAATTAAAATCCACTATGAAAATGGTGGTTCTGTTAAAGTTACGTTTCGTAAAATTCGTGATATTTTCGGACAACATAATCGTCCTTCTGAGACCGCTATTAAGAATTTGGATCGACAGGCTCGGTACAAAATGCGCCAACACCAACGCGTGTTCGACCGGGTCGTTCAACCGAAAACATCGCAGCCGTGAGCCACAGTGTTGAAGAAGATCCAAATTTGTCAATTCCTCTACGTTCTCAACAATTGGGGTTATCCAAAACCACCACATGGCGAATTTTGCGTAAGGATTTGGCTTTGAAGCCTTACAAGGTTCAACTGGTGCAGGAATTGAAGCTGACCGACCATTCACATCGCCGTAGATTCGCTCAATTCATTCAGGAACAGCCCGCTGGTTTTTCTGAAAAAATCATTTTTTCAGACGAAGCCCATTTTCACTTGTCAGGGTACGTCAACAAGCAAAATTGCCGCATTTGGGCTTCTGAAAATCCTAAAGCGATTATTGAGAAGCCTTTGCATGCTCAACGTGTCACTGTATGGTGCGCTATGTGGTCTGGAGGCGTGATTGGGCCGTTTTTTTCGAAGATGAGACTGGAAATGCGGTAACGGTCAATGGATCACGCTATCGCGAGATGTTAACATCTCAGTTTTGGCCTATTATTGATGACATCGATATCACAAACATGTGGTTTCAACAGGACGGTGCCACATGTCACACAGCCAACGAAACGATCAATTTATTGCAAACCAAATTTCCCGATCGCATA